GAAAAGAACAGCTATTAATAATATTAGGATTGTAATATAAAAAAGCAGTACCACTTGCCATAAATAGGAAGTATAACTGAAAATAAATACTGTACCATGAAAACAAAATCGTATTATTAAATTCTACTAGATACTATTGTCTGAATAAGGCTTTGAGCCTGAGTCCTGTCCTCTTTTTTGCAAAAAAAGGGAGATTATTAAGTATTAGAAATACTAGTATTAGAGAAATACCAGTATTAAATTGAAGCTTTCTCTTTTGGGTCATCAGAAGGACTGAAAGGGCCTTTGGAAAAGGATTTTTTTTTCAGTCTGTGTTTCAAAATTATTTCACCTGTGTCCCTGCATTACCAGACGTGATCTTGTGATCCGCCAAGATGTGTCTTGTGTAACATTAGTGGTACCCATTCTATACTCTGAGAAACAGGGGTTCGGGGGAACAATATCTCCTGGTTGCCTTCATGGTCTATGAAACTCTTCTCCAATTCTCTTGGTCCAAACATGAACTAGACACGTTCTTATATGTCATTAGGTTAACATATAAGAAGTTGGATGGTAAGTCTAGGCGTGTAGCCTTCTGACTAACATGAGAACTGTCTCAGTCCGTTTGGGCTTCTGTGACAAAACACCACAGACCGGGTAGCTCACAAAAACAGAAATCTATTTCTCACAGTTCTAGAGGCTGAGAAGTCCAAGATCAAGGCACAGGCAGTTTCAGTTTCTGACGAGGGCTTGCTTCCTGGGTCACAGATGGCACCTGCTTGCTGTGTCCCCACATTGTGGAAGGGACTAGCTAACTCTCTGGGGTCTCTTTTATAAGGGCTCTAATCCAATCACAAGGGCTCTGACCTTATATTCTTATCACCTCCCAAAGGCCCCACCTCCTAATACCATCACCGTGGGGGTTAGGATTTCAACATGTGGATTTTGGGGGGACACAAACTTCAGACCAAAGTGAGAGCCAAACCAAGACTCATCCTTTGCTCATTGATTGTGATTACCCCTTCCTGGTTTGTCCTTCTGTCCTTCAGATAAGAAAGAGGCATGTGTCTTTCCGTTCACCTACAAGGAGTCTGTTTACTTCACTTGCACCAAAGTGGGGAGCTTGTCCCCTTGGTGCGCAACTAGAGCAGTGTACGATGGCAGATGGAAGTACTGCATGACTGAAGGTGAGTGGCATCACTTC